TTTTTTTTTTCATACTACAACCAAATATGCAAGATATGCCTAGAGTAAAATGGTCCAATAACATTCAGGACCAATTTTACATCCATAATGAAAAAGAAATTCATAATAAATATAAACAAATCACAAAGAGACATGGTTTCCCACTTACATCATCTGGTCCCAGAGGAATAATCGTGCACAAGGCGAAAACGAATGGGTGGACATACTTCATGTAGAGATAATATGTAGCAACGGCATCAGAAACAGAGTAGTTGGCCAAACTCTGTAAGGAATGATAAGGGTTAGAAGGCGAAAGAATAGTTTTACAAAATCAAAACGACAAACTTGAGGATCTTCTCTAGCCATTTTGCACATCTCTTCTGGATCCACTTCAACGGGATCGTAACGTAACTTAGCTTTAGCAACAGCTTTCAGATTTTGGCTCCCTACGGGTAGGTAAGAGTCACGCTTCACCCATCTGAAAATAAATCTGATTTGAAATCAAAAAAGGACTAGAGAAAACCGTCTGACCTAAAGGCGTCCATATGGATACAATTTCTGCTTTTAAACTCGTCTGCAGAGTCTTTGGCAAAACCGATCTCATCTTCCATGTCCATGCCACGAATACGAGCTCTGGCTTCAACAAATGGCCTATAAAGCACATTCAAACTTCACCTCCTATGACTAAAGAGAACTGCGAAAATTTCAGTTACCAATCGAAGAAGTCTCCGTTATAGGTCACAATCACATTTGGCTTCACTTCGAGTATATGGTCAAAAAATCTGTAGATATTTATTTGAAAAGCCTAGTGATCCGCTAAATAACTCAAAACTACCTTCTTATTGTTGCTTCTTCGTCAGCTTCGTTGTAAATAAAAAATTTTCCTTTATACTCTTCTTTTGGAGTGTATTCAAATGACTCAATGTCAGCAGAAACAATATCACGGTTTATAATCAGAAAGCCTTTGCCATCAATCTAAAGATGTATATTTGGAATTTGAAAAAATTATAGAGCGAAACAGGAAACATGAGATTCCTAAAGTCATATTGGATTCTCATTTGGATCAATTACAATTACAAAGAATTGCAACATAAGTCGTTTATTGAGAAGCGAGATAAAGATAGGACATAACTCATAGATACTCACCATGTATGATATCATCATAATTTCGTCCAAAGCAGAATCGGGAAATTTCAAAGGCAGCTTTGTGGTCTCAATATCAAAGGCAAGTACGACTGGATCTATTGGGTCAATAAGAGTAGGGTGGCTGAATTAAGAAACCATATTTTACACACACGACAGTGACCGAAATAGCGAACCCTATTATACTTGGCTTCCTATTCGAGCTGATTCCCTTTACAGTATACCATTTACCAACGAAATACTTTTCATCAATTGCTACTCGCATATGGTAAGGTAAATCATGTTCTCTGAAATTATCCCGTAGAAAACATTTTAAAAAAAGAAAAAGGATGAGTTATTGAGCTTATAAACTAACCTAATATCTAAAATATCTGCAAAAACATCGTTAGATTGATCGTCGTACTTAGAGCCGCCCATGTTCCTAGAA